GGTATAAGAGAAATTTTCGCTCTTGGACAGGATGCGAATGTGCGAAAAAATGATCAGCGGGAAGAGTTGCGAAAAGAAGATCCCACATTATTATTATTATTATTATTATTATTATTATTATTATTATTATTATTATTATTACTGTTTTTCACCTTTTGTATTTTTCGTTAACTTACAGCTCTTCGCAAAACAAGAGAGTTAGATGGAACAATATGATTTATTTCTCTCTTACGGGCTGAAAAAACTACGATAAAGCCCTTTAATTCAATCTGTGACCAATGTCAATGCCAATGTCAATGTTAATGCCTTGTCAAATTTATCGACAACCTCAGTACAAGCTATAGGAGTTTCGTTGGTCAGTACTAGTGATAATGAAGATGGACTTCATATAAGTTTATAATTTTAAGGTGCACTCTTCAAAGAATACAATATTGGTTACTATTACGACTAATGATAATGATGACTGTAATAACCGTTTGCAACTGCTGTCATTTGAAATGTACCCCAATCAAAATAATACAACGCAAATAGGCAATAATATTTAATTCGGCATGATAACGATAACTTCACATCAATCATTCGCCAAATTGATCAACACACAATCCCTTCGCAAAAATTTTAGAAAATGGAACAATACGATTTATTTACGAACTGTAAAAAAAACTACGATAAAGCCCTTTTAATTCAATTTGACGCCAACGTCAATGTCAATACCTTGTCAAATTTATCGACAACCTCAGTACAAGATATGGGAGTTTTGTCGGCCAATATGGACTTCACGTAAGTTTATAAATTTTATAATTTTATGGTAACGATAGAGATAACGCACTCCAGCCCTGTAAAAAAAAAATACGACAAGAATCAGGAAAAAATCCGGTTTTTTAGTTCCGGAAAATCACCAGTTTTGTTAACAAATTTCCAGATTAAAATCTGATTAAAAATCCGGAAAATTTGGAACGCGATATCTCGCGAATCACTAATCCAATCCGGATCAAAATACCACAATTCAATTCGTCTAGGCTTGGCGAATCGAATGGTGGTATTTTTGTCTGGATTGGATCAGTGAATCGTGAGATATCGCATCCCAAAGTTACTGGATCAATTTTTTTGATTTTTTTTGTTTAAAATTAAAATAAATGCATTATTTCCAAGCACACTATCATTAAATTTGCCTAGTTTTGGTGAATTCAATGATAGTAATTTTTACAAAAATGGTTTGGTAATTCAAAAGATATCATGTTTTAAAGTTGTTGAATTAATTTTGATTTTTTGAAAAAAAACTTATTTTAATTTGGAACACTTAATTTGAAGCATGATATATCATGACTCACCAGGTCAAATTTCACCAAAATTTAGCCAGTATTCCACTAAATCTCAGTAAATATGTGGCTTTATTTTTATCCAATTTGGTTAAGTAAGTGATAAGATATTGTTACCGTTTTGAGCTTTTGCGTATGAAAATATTTCAAAATGGCAATAATGACTGTGTTCACGGCAATTTACTTTAAATATTATAACTAAAATGGTGTTTATGACGATAAATGATGTTTCTTGACAAGATAAAAGTGATGAAGATACTAAACTAATAACAAAACTAAACTAAAAGATAAACTAAACCAAAAAGTACTTATAATTTCAAAATAAAATCAAATTAACATGTCAAACCCGACATGAAACCAAAAGAAACTCAAAATCAAAACTTAAGAACTTAAAATATGAACCAGGGAACTAGGGTTCCGAAAAAAAGTCTGGTTCAGTTCGAGTCTGGTTCAGTTCAAGCTTGAACCGGACTCGAACCTGACAAAAAGTCCGGTTCGAAAATTCGAACCTAATTAAAAGTCTGATTCAAGTTCGGTTCGAATTTCGAACCTGACTCGAACCTGACCAAAAGTTCGATTCGAGTTCAAGTAAATGTTTGTTGATGTTCTAAGTAAAGTTGTAGATCATAACATGAGCTACAAATTGATATAAAATAGTTAATATTTAGGATAAATATTTAAGAAGTTATATGGATTTAAAAAATAATTTTAATTATTACGATTTTAATCT